AAAAGGATCATAATGCTGATTGTGTAAACTTAGGCAAATCATGAGAGGTAGAGCAGGAAGGGTTGCATCAGTGCTTAGTTCTTGTGGCCCTTTCTTACATGCCCAGGGAAATGCTGATCACCACTTTGGGGCTAGGAAGCAAGTTTTCTCCAGGCCAGTTTAGCCCCCAGTGATCCTGGAGGTTTTTTTTTTAAATCATATTCTGGGCGTGGAACAGGGGTCACTGGGGTGTGTGGGGGGGTACTGGTGAATTTCCTGCATTGTGCTTGGGGTTGAACTAGATGACCCTGGAGGTCCCTTCCCACTCTATGAGTCTATGATTCTATAATTCACCCAGGCTGGCCATGGGCACGCCAGCACCTCTGTCAGGCAGAAGCGCCTGAGATCCTCCCCCTCCCCTTTTCCTTTGCCCGACTTGGAGGCGAAGGGAAGGGAGAGGGGGGAAAGAATGGATCCCAGGTGCTTCTGCCTGTCAGAGGGGCTGGTGCACACTTCCGGTGATGTCAGGGGGTGTGGCATATGCTAATACGTTATGCTAATGAGCTCCTGCAGCTCTTTTTCTACGAAATGACCCCTGGCAAGGGCAGCTGCTGGCAGGAGGCTTCCTCCCACAGTGGGTAGATTAGCCAGTTCTGGGCTGGGAAAAACCCCGCAGATTTGGGGGGTTGAGCCTGAGGAGGGCACGGTTTGGAGAGGGGAGGGATTTCAGTGCCATGGAGTCCGCCTTTCAAAGTGGCCATTTTCTCCAGGTGAACTGATCTATGTTGCCTGGAGATCACTAGGAGATCCCCAGCCACCACTTGGAGGCTGGCAACCCTGAGTGGGAGGCCTAGCCGCTCTATCAGAAATCTGTACACTTTCTTCCAGGTCCTATCTAATTAGGCGTTTGGTGAAATGAAGAAAGGCAAAGGGTCTCCAAGATCTTCTGTCTTTGGTTCCACAAGGATCCAGAAGGGTTAGTGACAGGGCCGGCTCACCCACTAGGCGAACTAGGCATTCGCCTAGAGTGCTGGGCCCTGGATGGGGCGCCGAGCTGTGCCCTCCCCCCCGCCAAAAGCCCGCAAGCAGCTCTCCAAGTGTCAGCACTTTGCTAATTGGGGAGAGGCATCCAGTGAGCATCCCTCGCCTGGAGACAGGATCCCCCCCACCTCCCTCCCAAACTGCCTTCAGAAGCAGAGCACGAGAGAAACATCTCTTCCATCTTGGAGGGCGCTGCAGGAACATGTGGGGCGTGCTCGCTGGGTCTGACAGCTGCAGGAGGGAGGAGGCGGTGGCGGCGGTAGCAAAAGGGTGGCTGGCTCCAGAGGTCTTCAGGCCCCACCGGGAGGTTGGCATCTGCACCACAAGGCAGCCTCGCCTAGAGCGCAGAAACACCTCGAGCCGGCCCTGGTTAGTGACAACATTCAGTGATCCAGTTCAATACTGGTGTTTGTTAAAATTCTAGTCAGGTGAACTGGTTCTTCTTTTCCGGCTCCTCTGCTCGCTCCTGCGACACGGACCTTGGGATGGTTTCCTTGCGTGCCAGCCCTCTCCAATATGAATGCAAGATGTTTTCTGTTGGCAAGGTGAGGTTTTGTCCATAAAGAGCTGTAGTGTGCCAGGCATGCCCACCCAGTTTAAAGAGGTTGAAGCATTTCGTTCGGAAGAAACAGAAAGCAAGTAAGGAAAGACCATTTAGCAGATTTTTTTTAAAAAGGTGGCCCTAGCTTTGCCGTTCACCGCCCTCTGCGGGAGATTCTTCTTTTGTATACTTGAAGTTGTATATTCCAACAGTGTCAACTCAACTGGGCCTGGCAGTTGTTGATAGGCTAATATATATATATATATCTCCCCTGACTCAATGCATAACCAGTGCATGTCCTTCTGATATGCCAAAGCTGGGACATGCCGGATAGAGATAGATGTTGCTTTCTGCATTCTTTCCTTCCTGACTCATTGAGGCCCCCCCTTCCTTTTAAAGAAACAAACATGAACATAACCTAATAAACCATAAAACACAATTCTCTCACCTCCAAAATGTGCGGTGTTCCTCGAAGCTTCATGACTGCCCTTTGTACTTTGGCCGTCCTCTTCCTGTCTTTGCAACGTTGCGTGGCAAAAAGTAAGAACTAAACGATACCTTTTGGGTTCTTGATTGAGTGGGGTGAGCGTGTGGATAAAATAAAAATCTATTTATTTATTGATTTCATTGGCCTTATATGTAAAGGGATAGTATGGGGTTACGCTCACGATACCTAATTTGTAAAGTTTCGTGATGCACTTAAGATTGCACAGGGCGAGGGAGACGAAAGGTTGCCAACTCTGGATTGGGAAATCCCTGGAGATTTGGGGGGTGGAGCCAGAGGAGGGTGGGGTTTGGGGAATGACCTCAGCAGGGTAACATGCCATACAGTGCACCCACCAAGGCTGCCATTTTCTCCAGGGGAGTTGATCTCTATTGTCTGGACTCTGGAGATCAATTGTAACAGTGGGAGATCTCCAGGCCCAGCTGGATGTTAGCAAACCTAGGGAGACTTTAAACACGCTATATTCCTAGAGTGGCCAGATAATCCCACAGATGGACCCTATATCTTTAAATTTCTTAATACAGCAGGAAATGGAGCAGTAGTTGGACTTCCCCACCTTTCCCTTCTGAGGCTCCATCCATGGTCTCCTTCTCTGCCTGTTAAAACAACCATTGTCCCAGCCAGAGGTCATTTCGGGGGGGAACGCGGGGGAACGCAGTTCCCCCGGGTGAGGTGCAAGGGGGCGGGGCACATGACGAAGCCCTGCCCCTGCTTACAGCCGCCCCGCTTCCAGCCCTCATTCAGCCAGAAGGAGGCAGGAGAAGAGGGAGGGTAAGTTGCTTCCTCCCCGCCTCTCCCCACCCCTGCCTGCCTGGAGCTAGGGAGGGCCTTGGCGGGGCTTCCTCGCACTCCCGCCGGCCTTGCAGGTCCACCGTCGGGCCCCTGATTTCAGGGGGTGTGGCATATGCTAATGAGTTATGCTAATGAGTTCCCCTAGCTCTTTTTCTACGAAACGACCCCTGGTCCCAGCTATGCTGTACAGTAAGCAGAGCTGGAGGACCAGAATAAGAAAAGAGATAAACAGAGAAGTCGCACCTGCACTGGGGAACATTCAAGGTATAGCACCATTCTACCTGATGAAATTTCTTTTTCAATTTTACTAAGGTAGCCATTTGGTGGAGGGGAGGGGGAGTTCTGTCTCTTTAATAGAGGTTTAACGGGCAGAAATAGCCTGTTGAAGCTTTTGGTGGCATGGAGGGAAATTATATCACCTGGTGTTTTGCTGCCGATCAAACTGATATTAATGGGATCCCTGGGGGAACACACTGGAACAGAGTTCCAGAACTTCTTCAGCAACATTTTTTAAAAATAAAATGTTTAAAAGTTCATGAGTTTTCAGTATACAGGTCAAAAACTTCATTTCCCTGTTGAGAGTTCCAGCACCGCTTTTTTTTTTTTTAAGTCCTAATGGGACATGTTTAAAAGTTGGCAACCCGCATAGGCATGTTGCTATTAAACAGGATCCTTTCCCTCCCGTGTATGAAATTACCACATTGTTACATGGGTGTGTGTGTGTCTTAGTCTCTGTGAGAACTAAAGAGCCTGCTTTAGGTGGGACTGCCAACTTTTTAACTGGGTCTGCTCTTGTACCTCCCTGGCATACAGAAATCATGGCGCTCCTTGAATACCAACAAAATTTATTTCAGTATAATCTTTTGTGAGTCAAAGCTAGGGATGTCAACAGAGCAGGCCTGGGGGGGGAATTTCCCATCCCTTTCATAGAGGCATAATATGTTCTGATGAGCAGCTGACACTTCTCAGGGCATGAAGGTAAATAACATCGGCTGGGAAATAACATCCCATTATGCCTCTCTTAAAGAGGAAGGACATTTTGTTTCTCAAGTTGGCCACCATACTTCAGAGCTCACTTCCTCAGATATCTATGACAGGAAAAACTCCGCTTCTTAAATTTGTCAGGCTCGTATTAAAGGCACAGGAACATGGCCAGGCTTTTGGAAGGAAACATGGCTGGGGAGGGAGAGTCATTTTGGTGGGTTTGTTGAGGCGAGTGGCAGGCTGGGAAACGTCTAAGTACCTCAGGGGAACCTCCACATTCAAAGGCACTCAGCCTCTGAATCCCAGAGCCAGGAAGCAACATCAGGGGAAGGCCTCAGCCTCTATGCCCTGTTGTTGGCTATCCAGAGGAACTGGTTGGCCACAGTCTGAGACAGGATGCTGGACTAGATAGACCACTGGTCTGATCCAGCAAGGCTTATGTTTTTTTGTACCCTCTTTGAGCCTGCTAATCTTCCTCTACAAATTCTATGCCCTTGGCATTGATTCAGCAAAAACAGGATTGGATACCTGTGTTTAATGATTGCAGCTTTAGGCTTTCCCCCCATGTTTATTTATTTAGAAAATAAATGTATACAAGAAAGGGGACCCGCGAAAATCGTGGGGGGGAGGAGCGGGGGAGCTCCACACAGAGCAGGGAGGAGGAAGCAGGTAAGCTTCCCCCCATCCCATCGGTTCCCCCGTCTCCTCCACCCCCCCTCAACTACCACCCCCCAGCTTGCCGGCCCCGCCCAGTCTCTCTCTTTCCTTCGTTTTCTCTCTTCCCCCCGTCTCTCT